CCGGGGTATAACGCGCGTGTATAATTTCAAGCCACATGTTTTTCAATTTTAGGCATATTCGCCGTATAGAACGCACCCAATCCTTCACGAAGAAACCTAAAAGATGCTCAATGTTCTTCTCTTTTGAGTTCAATTATTCGAAAATTTGTCCTAGCCTTTCGCAGAACGGAAAACTGCACTACAAACGATAAGGGGAACAATATACAGTGGTGGCCAAAATTGTGGACACTTTTGGAAATTTTTATGTTTTTGAACTTTGTATGCTTATAGAAAACGTTACGTTTCACAAAATGCAAACTTGTATATATCATTTTAAAGAGACTTTTATAACTGAATTCAACATAAAACACAAAAATTCCAATTATTTCCAATACAAAAAAGTTAAACGATAATAGTTATCGATATACATTAGATAGTGATGATCGCAGTGAGTTATCAGTACTTAGTAGGATACGCTTTATTTTTGATTACAACTTCACATCGATATTTCATTGAGCTGACAAGAGTTTTAAGCTCTTCTTTCGTTATTACGTGATTCCAGGAATAGTTCCCTTTTATTTGATGGGCGCCTCATTCGGACAAGAGGTTTCAAACGGTGCCACAAATTTTCGATAGGATTGAGGTCAGGACTGTTTTCTGGCCATGACAACAATTTAATGCTCTTTGTACGAAACCACACTTTCGATATTTTGGCCGTGTGGCAAGGAGCAGAATCCTGCTGAAAAATAAACGAAGCATTGTTGGGATAGAGATCTCTGATGAAGGTAGACCTTTTGGTTCTAGAATAGTGTCAATGTATTTTCTGGCATTCAGTGTCCTATCGATGACATGAAGGCGACCAATACCATCTGCTGACATGCATGACCAAATCATAACACTAATTGGGTTCTTCACAGTTGCTTGAATGGAGTCAGGATGTAGCTCTTCTGCTATTCTACGTCTTACATATTTTCGTCCATCACTACCGAATCACGATATCTTAGTTTCATCACTCCATACAACATGTGACCACTGATCATCAGTCCAATTAATGTGTTCCTTTGCCCACTGTAGTCTTTTTTTCCGCTGCTGAAAATTAAGATAAGGCATTTTTTTGTGGAATTCTACCTCTCAGTCCAACATTTGTTAATCTTCTCTTGGTTGTTCTTGAACTGACAGAAACACCAGCATCATTCAGATCACTTCTGATGGCCGCTGATGACATTTTTCTGTCTTGGAGACATAGTCCTTTTATTCTGTCATCAATAGATGTGCTGCACCTTTTTCGGCCTTTTTCTTCTTTGTTCTTAGCCATGTATGAGAATCTGTTTGGTGGGATTCCTTTAGTGGTTCTGTGGGATCTTCTCGGTAATAGGTGAATTTCTTCTGTTTCAATTACTTCCTCTGTAATAGCATTTGGACAGAAAACTCTGATATGGCTTAGATTCGGCTCCTTATTATTCCATAGTTCATACGGTGTTTTCTCAACTGATCTTGATGGTAGCCTGTTTTGTAGATAGGTGGCTGTCATTACGGCTTCACTCCAAAATTCTCTTTTGAGTCCTGAATCGAGTAGCAGGCATCTTGTCATTTCCCTTAAGTATCGATTTTTTCTTTCTGCTCTGCCGTTCTGTTGCGGTGAATATGCTACGCAGGTTTGATGTTCGATTCCCTCTTCCTTTAGATAGTCTTCAATCTCTTTGCTTATATATTCTCCTCCATTGTCTGTTTTTAAGACTTTTGGCTTCTTTCCAAATTTGTTCTTCGTCGTGGTTACAAATTGTTTTAATTTGGAGATAGCTTCATCTTTTGTAGCTAGCAGATAGATCGTTGTGTATCTCGAATGATCGTCGATGAATGAAGTTCTTATCTTTTGAGGTCACTTATTCGAAAATTTGTCCTAGCCTTTCGCACAACGGAAAACTGCACTACAAACGATAAGGGGAACAATATACAGTAGTGGACAAAATTGTGGACACTTTTGGAAATTTTTATGTTTTTGAACCTTTTTGTGCCTTTTCCTTCTTTGTTTTTTATTAAATTTGTCTCCTGATATCGTAAACAAAACTTTCAGACTCCAGATGTAGTCACTGAACCACCCACCTGTCTTGCAATTTCAGTATAAGAAAGACCACTTTCTCGTAACACAATAATATTACATCTCTTTCTAGGTGTCCAATCTACTCTTTTATTTGATTTTATTGCTTCTTGACTAAATACTAAAAATTTTTACAAAAATTCCTACTTGTAATTGCAATGTATAAGAAACAGGTCCTCCTTCTACAGAACAAAGCAAAATGATGAATTTTTTCAAGTGTAAACATGATGTCAGCTTCTATGTCAGCTTCTACTGGCAGTTACTAACATTTGATTGGTTCTCAGAACACGAGCAGTGATTGGCCAGGAAAGCTAGACATTACAAACCACTTCATAACTGTGTTTTTTATTTATATTAAAGTACAGATAACTTTTTTAGTATTGCAAATAATTGAATTTTGTGTTTTGTATTGAATTCAGTAAGAAATTCTCTTTAAAATGATATATACAAGTTTGCATTTTGCGAAACGTAATATTTTCTATAAGCATACAAAGTTCAAAAGCATAAAAATTTTCAAAAGTGTCCACAATTTTGGCCACCACTGTATGTGTTAAGTTAAATGCTTGAGAAAGTAAATAGTCTTGCAAAGATTGCATTCAATTCAAATAATGTTATTGTAGCGTTTCCACACAGGGGGGATATAATTTGGAGTAAGAATGCACTTCCAACCTGAATGAATTCGTGGAATTAGGAGTTAGATAGTATTTCTTTCTGTAGTCATTTGAAGTCGTGAAGTGAAAATCGAAAGCTTTAAAAAATCGCAATTGCTTTAGTTGCAATACATTTGATCCAGTACTCCTTTTTGTATTATATGGCTCTCGCGAAAAGAAACAAGCACGGTGCTGGTTTCAAATGCAAAACCATTCATTTTGCGAAAGAAAATGCAAATCGTGCTTCAGCAAGGGTGTTTGGTGTTGGTGAAAGATGCACCTGATGATGATGATGATGATTTATTTATGACAATGATGTGATAGTAAATTAACAATGATGTGAAGGCGAAATAGAATTCGATGAGTGCCTGAAGGAACGAAGACGGGCATGACGAACTTTTTATGCTATCCGATAATGAAGATTTTTGAGTTCATAAGGTATGTAATTTCTTTTAAATAAACAGCACATACTATAGATACATATAAAAATCTATTTTCGTTATGCTAAGTCCTTACTTTTAAATCTATTATTTTTGTACCCTGCGTACAACGCGCACGTGTAAATTTCAATCTTATTTTTGCATTGAAAGTGCGCGTTATACACGAGAATATACATCAGTTTGTTATATTCATGAACTAAATACTTAACAAGGAATTAAAAACCTTACCGCCTTCCCTCGTTCTGGCTGAAACTCCCAGATATAAGTAATGTAAAGATGTTTGATATGTAGCGAAACAAACTTATTTTTATATGAATAATAGCAGTTACACGACAAGCCTTCGTCTGGCTTTTAAATGTACTGGAAAATTGCCTAAAGAGAACACCAAGCTTTAAATTTAAAAACTGCGCAGAATTTTACTCTGCAGAAAAACCTTATTTTAAAAACAAAATTGAAAAAAAAATTATTACATGTAACAAAATTACAATGAAATTCAGCAATATCCTTTAATACAAATATTAATTATCCTAATAAATAAATTAACCAACTTCCCGTTGCAAAATCTTAAGAATTCAAGTAGTATAAAGGAAGTTAATAACTTCGTTTCCTAAAAAATCATGCGAAGCCTTTTTATGTAATTAATTTTCAATCACGAAATCGAAGTTTTAGGAGGCAAAATTAAAGATGGGAAATTATATCCTCCTTCTTCTAAAACGAAAGCAGTAATTAACTTTCTAGAACCTAAATGTGTAAAAGATGTTCAAAATTACTTGGATTTAACTGGTTACTTCAGAAAATTTATACCTAATTATTTATTAATTGCAAAACCGCTTAGTGATTTACTGAAGGAAGATTCTAAATTTAAATTCGAAACTAAAGAACTTTATGATGCTAATGCTGACAGTTATGGTGCGGTTCTGTTACAGAAATCCTTAATTGATAATCAGGTGCATCCGATTTATTATGAATAAGATGACGACAGACGTTGAGCGTAAATATTCGAGCTATGAATTAGATGTTAAAGCAGTCGTAGACGCTCTTAAAAAATTCAGGGTGTACGTATTAGGCATACCGTTTAAAATAGTGACAGATTGTAATGCATTCAAACAAACTATGAGCAAAAAAGACATTTGTACTAAAATATTTAGATGGGCATTAATGTTATTAAAACATAATATAAAAAATTACAATGGAATAAGCAATAAATTTCATATTTTCAAGTGAAAACAGTCAGCAGTCCAGTATCCAAAGCAATGAATGAAAACTGTTGCCAAAACCCCATTTCTGAAAGAATGAAATTATTCAAAATGATGCGATAAAATCGAAAAAATAAAATTAAAAAAAATCTGCTTTTAAGTTTGAAAAAAATCGCTTCGAGGTGCACTGGCTCTTGTCTAGATGCACCAATTCAATATATACCAACTTTCGTAGCCCTGGGTCTATTAGCTTACGCGCAGTACAAACGAAAGTACACAGACAGACTCTTTCTTTTATTATATGCAGAGATACTTTGTTTAATTGATTTTAGGATAAAATACAATTTCTAGATACAAATTGTGGAACTGATGGATTGAAACGAAACCAAATGGAAAAATTTCAAAGCATCAGGGTGTAACAAGATAAAAATTAGTTATTAAAAATTACTGAAGCAGAAGCCATAGACGATATTTAAATGTCATTTAAACGTAATTTTTATTTTACTTTTACTGAAAAGAGAGAAAAAGTACATTTTTACATTTCTTTGTTGGCTTCTTCTTCTGTGTGTGTATGCATTCCCATCTCTAGAATATCATCAATACTATTCTTTCTTCTTTTATGTTTCATATGATTCAGGACTGAGCGGGAATAATGAATACCGAACTATTATCAGTAATCCTCACATTCAGACCCTGGAGAACGGATCTCTGGTGATCACAGAACTGGAGCTTTCAGATGCAGGTCATTATATGTGCCAGGCTACAAACGGTATAAGCCCGAGCTTAAGCTCAGTCGTTAAGCTCACAGTGCATGGTAAGTACTACCCTCAGTTTCCTTATGCTTACTTTTGTTGCTTCAGAGGATTTTAGTTTCCAAATATATGAAACTAAAACCTAATGCACAATGAAAGTATTAATGGTTTCACGAAGCAAGAAAACTAAGGATGATAATTTTCTTTTATATCTTTAAATGATTTACTAGACTTAATGCATTCATTGCTGCTATTAGTGTATTTTATATTTCCTATGAAAGAACACCCAGTGTTATAAACTCCATATTTTAATATAATTACTCTATTGCGTTTGGAGAAAATTTTCTCATTACTTTTTCCATTTGAAGCAAATTATTTCGTAAGAGTAAGCAGAATCAGTAAGCATAAAAAGAGCTAAGCACGCCACTTAATGATTATTATTCATTATCCGCAGCTTATAAATGTTTTACTATACTATATACATGCATTAATTTTTAGTTTGCTCATTATGAAGTGTTAAATATCAGCACGTAATAGTTGCTTCTGATTAAGAGAGATTCGTGCTATGTCTCTCAGAATACATTTTCAATTCCACTGTTGAATAGCTGAAGCAATTAGGCAATGTTATTTTGCCCCACCAATTAAAGTCGCTGAAGACTAGTAGTTAGGTCCAAGGTTCGAATCCCGCGAACGGGCTGCTGAATGAGTGTTTTCGTCATTTTTCCCATGTGTAAAGTGTATACGAGCCAGTTTTCCTTAAAAAGTCTTCCTCGAAGGTATCCCTCCTCTTAAGCAGATACCCTTCGAAGCTTTGCCGTAATCACGTAAACCAAACCAAACCAAACTTGTCTAACCAGTTTGTAGAGACATTAGGCAATTTTTGGAAGCAAGAAAGATGAAAAATTAGCAACGCTCTCATCGGGAGTCCAACCACGTACTTCTGCAATACGCGCCCGGCGTGCAGACCAGTACACAACGAAGGCATGCTAAGATGGCGGAAGAAACATCTTATATACTCACCCTTTTAAAGGATGACTGGGGTTTCTAGAGGACCCAATTACCAAATCCTGGGTGTGGAGAATCATCTTCCACCGCCCTTTTAGTCCGGGCGTCACTGTATAGACATTAGGTATTTTTTGAAAGCAATAAAGATGAAAAATGAGCAAAGTTCTCTCCGGGAATCGAACCACGGACCTCTGGAATACGCGCCCAGCGTACAGACCTCTACACTACGAAGGCATGCTAAGACGGCGGAAGAAATACCTTATAAGTTGAACAGTTTGACTGCATGTTTTTTCATTCTTCAACGGTAACATTAAAACGAGCTAATTTTCCTTTGGAAATCCTCTACATTGATTGAATAATTCGACGTGGCACTAAATTGAAACTCACTGAGAAAAAAATGATCCAATGAAGCTGAATTTTTTTCGTGTAATACAGGAAAAGATTGAATTTTACCAGTACTGCTATCCGATAACTTAACTGCACAGTAATTAAATTTTAGAATGATGTAGCGCATATGCAGTCAAAGCTTTAGATTTTTGAAAATTTGGCCGTTGAATCTGCAATTTGTGTAATAGTCACATTGTAGTTATAATACACATAATCACAAATCCTTTCCCTTTTCTTTCAAACGTTTTCTATATTACACGAAGAACTGTGAAATTTCTGAGATTTCTATACTGAGATTTATATTCGGAGATTTTTTTATACTAGATAATAATTCTGAATGGTATCCAGGCTTACATTAATTTGCTTGCTGCCTCGTATATCGAAATAAGAGTTAGAATTTATCTGTTGAAAAGTATTGTAACAGAGCAAAATACATTTTTCTAAATTTATCTTCTGCAGTACTATCAGTTAATGAGGGAAAAGACTATAAAATATTAAAACAAGACCACTATACATTAATTAATTACAGCGAAGCAATAGAGGTCTATTTACCAAAAAATATTACTTTGCGGCATGCAGAAAGTAATTTGCATATACCAATATATTTTAGCAATAACATATTCACTGCGAATACGTTATAATAAAATTAATTTGCGTTAATATATTCGTATGAAAATAACTCATACCACTTTTAATATAAGTTCATTATCAAGGATTTTTTATTAATGTTTCAGGTCTTTAAAACACCAACTAATAACATAACGTTATTTTCTTTGGTTTAAAGCTTACTATCATATGGTAATATATTAGTACATGCAGTAAATGTGCGGTGCTTTCAGACCAAAAAAATCTTTATTGCTTATATTACATTTAAACAATCTGTATGCTAGATAAGACTGAGATAAAAGCGTTATAAGCAAAATATCTTTATCATTGAATGCATACAATATGTTTTATTTTAAGAAAATGTTACTCACTCCTATTTTATGCCTGTGCTTTCAAAGAAAAAATGAACAGAGAATTTAAAAAAAAAAAGCAAAATAGTTTCATATAACTAAACAAAAAATACAGAAATAACGGAATTTAAAAAATATTCATGAGACAAGTTATCATTTTTCACAATCACATTATAGGATTATGTTAATTTCAATAACAGTTAAATTTTGAGTTAAAGTTCCTTTCTTATCGATTCTTAACTTCAACTTACCACTTCCGGCCAGAACGTAGTTTTAGAATCACGTCTGAATACATAATGAGAAAGGTATTTAACCGCCGAGTTCTTCGGTCTTAAGGAGAGAGATACCAGGTATTCTGGCTGCATGCGTCCAACTTTTTAGGCTACTCTCTCGTAAACTATTATCACGCTGGGCCGTACTTTAGGCGCTTAATAGCTTCGCAGTCTATTAACGTTAAGGGGCCAACTCTGTTAGAATCATGATAGCTTCGGCTATATCTCTTTAGTTAAGATTAGTTTAGTATTATTATTAGTCTCTTAAGTTCAAGTCGAAGTGTCGGCTTTATTGTTATTTTAATGTACACTCCAAGACGGAGTTTTGTTAAACGTTAGTAGGAATAATAAAGGGTTAGTTTACCCTTCTATCTTGTTGTTTCCTGCCGCATGAACTCAAGCGATTATTCGCTTATATCACTTCTTAAGATTCTTCACTTCCAACAGTAACTTTACAAAGTGAGGAACTCTACAACATGAATGATAACACTTCTCCATAAACTTAATGATTAAAGCAAGTAAATTAGCATTGTGTTTTATTTAGACTCGTAAAACATCCATGGACGTTACTCAGAGCCTAATTGCACAAATCTAATTAGTCTATTCAAACACTATACCGTAAATATTGAATAGCATTAAATTCAAATGCCATCTCCCAGGACATTTTATGTACTCGGTATATGAATAAAAATTTTCATGCCTATTTTGGAAGATGCTACCCTTCATTTTCAACGCGTTGTCAAAAGTAAAGCATCAGAAAAATACAACAGAAAGAAAGTTAATCGTGCAAAATACACAACTCTAATGTCTGCACTACATTTCTGTATTCTTCTTCGTTTTGATGGGAATTTTAAGCTAAATTTTCATGAACTACTGAAGCAAAATATGTTTAGTTTTATATTTTTTCAAAGCAGAGAACTACTTGAGCAATAATATGGAAATACTGAATCAGATACATAGCTATAACGCATGGTTAACTTCAATGTCTCACTTTTTATTTAATGCCAAAGTGTGTACACTGAAGAAAACGACAGCTTTAAAGACGGGAACTTTGCATAAATCTTTGCAATTAGAGAAATTTCACATTAATACTTCTCACATTCATTTTAAGTCCTAATAAAAATTAAATAATATAGTCATTTAATTCTGTTATCATTATTTCTAAGGTTATATTTTATAGTTTTCCAGTGTGTGTTGTAGAAACATTAGGTCATTTCGAAGCTGGAGACATGCAAAATGAGCAATGCCCTCGCCGGGACTCGAAACCGGACCTCTCGAATACACGCCGAGTGTGCTAACCATTACACCATCAAGGCATGCAGAAAGGAGGGAGAAAATATGAAAATTATTAACGGTGAGCGCAGGGCAGTGGGAATTTGTGGATGATTTTTGCTTTTTATTGCCATCACTGTTTGTTCTATTTATTTTTACTATTTTTTTTACGTAACCATTGTTTGTGTTGCTGTTCGCGTTTTTTTGTCTTTGCTGTTTGCTTTTGTCAAAATATTTGTATTTGTCCTTTTCCTTCACTTTTACGTTTTAATTATTACTCACGCATAATTATTTGACATTTTACCTATTTCCCTTTATTGAATTGGGCGTGGCCTGTTATGAACATGATACCAACTTGTTTGGTTAGGTGGGTGGGGCTGCGCCCGATGCTGGCACTTAATACCTGTATACTCCCCCTTTTAAAGAGCGACTGGGGATTAGGATACCCAATTGTCAAATCCTGGTGATGAAGGATCATCATCCACCCCCTTTTAGTTCGGGCGCCACTGTAGACACATTAGGTATTTTTAAGCATGAAACATGAAAATGTGCAGGGCCTTCGCTGGGACTTGGACCTCTCAAATACGCGCCGAGTGTGCTAGCCATTACACCACGAAGGCATGCGGAAAGGAGGGAGAAAATACCCTATAGTATACTCGCGTGTTTCTCTCAAAAGTTATGCGAGGGATTACGTACTATGGGTAAATGTAACACTAAAAACGAGCACTAAAAGCAAACTAGTAAGTAGTAATTGTTACGATATGAGACCATCAGGTATTTCACAACGAAATTCTTTCATAGTTTTCAAAAAATTGAAAGCATAATTATCTATAAATAAAGGATATATGCAGTAATAAAGATGGGTATTTTGAATATATTGCTTTTGAACATTCAAACTATTATTCTGTGGTAGAGATATGACTGTGAAATTACTTTATTTTGAAGATAGGGCCATATCACAAATTTTAAATATCATGCTATTCAAATCCAAAAACACTGATAAAAGTGTAATACAAAGCTTGAGATATTTAACAATGATTTCATTTAATAATTGCAGTTTCATATAATATTAAAATTTCTAAAAGAGTTTTGCTACTCAAAACCCTCAGATGCAGAGTTTTAAAAGTGAACAAGCTGCAGGAGAACACTTGGATTGACTACCACAGCTTC